GGGAGGGAGAGGCGGTCAGGGTCTCAGCTTGCTTGGCTGGCCTTGGTGCGCTGGCCCAGGTCCACCCCGCCTGCCTGCGAACCTGGATTTGCGGTCAGAGCCTGGCCCTTCCTGGATGACCCAAGGCTCGCAGCTGCCACCAGGTGCTTCTGCCAGGGATGACAGCATGGCCGCCCTGTCCCCAGGAGCCAGGCTGCCCACGCTGTGCCCACTTCACCCGAGCACATACTCATCAGCCGGGGAGGCGGCTTGCGCCAAGGGCGCGAGGGCGAGCTCAGTGGCTGTGGCCCTGCAGAGCAGGGAAGGGGCCAAGGCCAAGGACGCCCCCAGCCGTCCCCAGGGGCAGCTCCCAGCCCTTGCCCCACACAAGCTGCCCAGGGCATCAAAGGTCTCCTGCTCCACGTCACCGGCCACAGTGCAGGGCCTCAGGCTCTCCTGGGCTCAGGGCCAGGTTGGCACCCGCGGGTAGGCACACAGCGCCCCAGCATCGCACTCCGCTGCCCCGCAAACCTCTTCCCTCACCCATCCGGCAGACAACGGCACCCGACCTCCAGACCACCTCGGTGGCGGTCTCCAGCTCTCGTGGGAAAGACCTGAAACCACAGGCAGACCTCGAGAGGAATCCAGTCCCCACCAGGACACCTTTGGTGCCCCCAGGGCCCCGTAGTTACCCATGATCAAGTCCCCGTCTTGGTAGCTGGGGACCAGCACTGTGCCCTTAACCCTTAGCAGGACCGAGCAGCACCCCAGGGTCGCCTGAGACGGGAATCCTGAAGCACAGGGGCGACGCCAAGGCTAGGCATCCCCAGCAGCCCTTGGGCTGCAGCGCGGCCTTCGATCACCTGGGTCTCCCTCCAGCTCCTAGGACAGGCTGGTCCCCGGCTTCCACCTCTGCAATCAGCGTGGCAGCCAGCTTTGCGGCAGGAAGAACTGCGACTCCAGGACATTCCCACCAGCAGACCTGCAGCACTCGCCCCGGGCCGACACCTTCCACGGCAGGACCACGTGGTCGGCCAGGGATCCCGTGCACCAGGAGCTCTACCGCGCTGCTTAGGATTTCATGTCCCAAGCGTGGCACAGGTAATACAGTACCACCCTATCTATTGTTAAATAGATTTCAGGAGCGCTGCAGAGGAATCCAACACAAACCCCACTATCTACGAGGAGCTACACTCCGCCCACAGCCAGTCCTCTGCACGTGCCTAGACTGCACCCTAATCCAACCAACTGTGGGTAGAAAGTATTCAAGGAGACACAGCATCTGTGGAATCATGTAAGGACTTCTTTCCTCCATATTATTCTCCAAATAATGGAGTATAACACAGTTTCTGGGTTTTTTGGGTTTTTAGCAGTACCAGGGATTGATCCCAAAGCCTTCAAACCAAGACACACCCCCTGCCTGTTTTCATCTTCTATTTTGAGACAGGGTCTAGCTGGCTTGCTAAGTTGCTCAGACCGGGCTTGAATTTGCGATTCTCCTGCCTCAGCCTCCCACAGTGCGGGATAACAACAGCGATTTATACTGTGTTGGGTATTAAACATCACCCACAGAGGGTCTTAAGTCCACAGGGGGTCGTTTTATGCAGCACCCGAGAACCCCGGGATGATGGTTCCCGCACGGTGCTGGAACTGAGCTCTCTGCACACTGAGAGGCAGTTTCGTCTGTCACTTAAGGGGAGCAAAGTACTGTCTGCTGGGTACACAGTGCTTGGGGCTGAGAAACACTGAAACAACAGTGACGTCCACAGGGCGGCCTGGGACACCACGCTCTGTCTAATGAAGTAACTCGGAAACTTGGTCTGACCCCATTTTCTAGCGGTGGCGTGAAGTTATGCCGATGTCCTCGGCAGTGCCCTACGACCGTGGTGACCAGGCCTGGTCCCTGCTCTCGCCATGCCAGACCCGGCTAGACCAGTCTGAAGGCAGGCACGGAGAAACCTCAGCCAAAGATGGAACCCACGGCCTGTGTTGAAAGACAGTTCCGGGCTACAGGCCTTCCACCTGCCTGGCCGTGCAGCTACGCCGTGCTGTAGACCCCTCCTCGGAGCAGCACCCCGAACCCACAGCATCGCCTCAGGATGCAGTCCCCACAGCGCTCAGCCCGCACTCAGCAGTCAGCTCCGGTCCCTCCCTGCGCCAGCCATCGCCGGAGGCCTGACCTCCCGTGTTCTCTGACCCAAGCAGGCAGGGCCCTTTGTCCAAGCTGCAGAAATGCAGAAATGCAGAAATGAGAGCCACGCTCTCCCCTAAATGCCAGCAGGACTGTCTCGACCTCAGGGATCTGTGTCCCTGGGAATAAGCTGGAACCACAGAGCTGGAGGCCGAAGATGGCTGAGCTGCACGGGCCCCACGCCTGCAACGCCAGGCCAGCTCACCCCGCGCCCCCTCCACCGTGTCAGGTGGCCGTGATGCCCTAAGCTGGGTCACACTCCAGCTTGAAGGAAGGGGACGCAGACTGGCCCAGGTCTTCACCCAGTGGATGGTGAGGGTTCGACAGAGACGGGGCCCAGGGCCTCTCTTGGGAAGACTCAGAGGCCCGAACTTGTCTTCCCAGGGGTCACCCCAACCAGCCCCCAGATGCTGGCCCTTCCGCTGGTGAGCCTGAGCCCTGCCAGCTTTGTCCCCATGAAAGAAGACCTGCAAATCTCTACGCAAAGTGCACATTCGCCAGCATCAATCAGGATGGAATGGGCCGGACAGGACAGGACACTCTGAGGGAGCTGGGGAGGCTGCGGAGCCCGCCTGGAGGTGAATTTCCACCTACAGCACCCTTGGGGTAGATCCAGCCGCACCGTGTCCTCGGGTCCTTCCCAAGCCTGGGATCCTGCCCAAGCCTCCCTGGAAAGCCTGGCAAGCGAAACGGCTTGCATTCATTCCTGAGCTCTGCCCGGATGGGGTCGTGACCCTTCCTGCCCCGCGCTGCCTTCAGGACAGGTGCGCGGGTGAGTGGGCTGCGCTCCGGGACCTGTGGGTGCACGTCAAGCCGTCCCGGGGCCAAAGTGTGGGGTGGGCGGAGGGCAGTCGGTGCAGACGGCCAGCACCCCATGGGCGTCTGGGTTCCCCTGGAGGTGAGCAGGGGCTGCAGAGGAGGAGCCTGTGATGAGTCCGCACTTTCACCCGGGGGGGCCCAGCAGGCTGCCAAAGGTGGGGTGTGGAGGCCACATCACTCGGGGGGGCCTGCAGCCAGGGGCACACTGGGTTCAGTATCTGCCAGTCGACCCAAGCTTGCGTTCAGGCGGAACCAACAGCACCGGGCTACTGAGCTTCAGCACAGCACAAACTTCCAGGCAGGGATCGGACTGTGGGCCGTGACCCCGGGGTTCTGCCCCTGGACGGCCACCGTCTCCAGCCCAACCGTGAAGCTGCTGCCCCGTGACCGGCTGGACAGACTGCTACCCACCCCGCTAGACTCCAAGGGTGATGTCCACCCACAGGACACACCCCGTGCTGCCTCCCCGGGAAGCACTGATCCCAGCACGGTCATGCTCCACGCACTTCGTCACCCCAGCTGTGGGCAGCTGCTCCCCCAGGAATGCCGGTGACCAGCCAGAGCCAAAGGCGTGCAGCCAGCAGCAGGCTGAAGGGCCCAGATCAGAACCGGGCTGTACGGAGGCAAGGGTGTTCACGAAGGTGATTTAGTTAAAATACAGCTGCTGGGAGGCTGGGGCTGGGCCCTGGGTTCAATTCCCAGCACTGCAAAACATAGATTTTAAAAGATCAGGCGGATCACATGAACTCCAGAGTCCTCAGAAGAAGAAGAGCCTGATATGACCCTGGGAAGGACAGCCTTGTGACCCAGCCTCGCAGAGGGGCCCGGGAGAAACCAACTCGGCCAGCACCTGCACCTTGGACCTCCGGCTTCCAGAACTTAGAGAGAGAAGAAGCCTGCGTCCTACAGTGCAGCCGGTGGGGCCACGCTGGGGTCCGCCGGCCTGGCAGCTTTCTAGCGGGCAAACCCCTTAGCTCGTCACTTTTGTGAGCGGAGCAAGAAAACTCGCCCTGTGTGATGGAAAATCACCCTCCTCGCCGCCACCCCGCCGCCCGCCTCCCATCTGATAACTGCAGAAATAGTCACCGCGTGCTCGGAGCAACGGAAGCACAGGAAGCCCCGGTCAAGGCGAAGGCACCTGGAATATTCCGTGCGTGGGGGAGAACGGGGACAGGAAGGAAACACCCTATCGGGACCGAGTATCTCTCCTGAAGGGTCGAGAACCTCCGCTGGCCAGCAGGGCTAGTGGGAAGGAACGCTGGGGAACAAGGGGCCCTGCGACAGGAAGCAGGCTCCCCCAGGCCCCCGCTGAGCCCCACAGCCGGTGCCAGACCGCTCCGCCTCCAGTTCTCCCTTCTTGCTTTCTTTCTTGCACCCGGGGCCTTCACACTGAGCCCATTCTTATTTTCATTTTGAGACAGGGTCTCACGGAGTTGCTCATTTGCCCATGCTGGGCTTGAACTTGGGAGCCTCCTGCCTCAGCCTCTCTAGACGCTGGGGTTACAGGTGTACACCACCACGTCTGGCTGCCCCCGGTTCTCCCGGCTCATCTGGAGCTCAGGGTGAAGGTCCCGGGTTCAAGGCTCAGCACCAGACATACATAAAGGAATGAATAGACAAACGAGGTCTGAATCAGAAGCAAATTCGGGGTGTGGAGAGCCCGTGAGGGATCTGGGAATCTTCGGGAGGCGGCCTGAGATGACAGCGAGAGGAGAAGCCCCACGGACAGGCAGGACAAGGCCAGCATGGGCAGGGCGAAGACGGGAGGGTGTGCAGGGGCAGGGAAGGACTCGGGACGGGGTGATGGCAGCTGTGGGGTGAAACCCTCACCCAAGGCGACAGCAGTAGGAGGAGTGAGGGGAAGTGACACGGCAGGGCTTTGGGCTTCGGGAACAGGACCGGAGCCCCTGTGAAAGGGGCCGGAGAGCTGCTGTGCGCTTTGCACTTCCTGGGAGTTGGACAGCTGGGCCTCACCAGGTACCACCCTGCCCACACCTGGATCCCCGACTTCCGGCCTCCATCACCACGAGAAGGGAATGCCGGTGGTTCCAGAGCCACCCGGTCCAGTGTTCTGTAAAAGCGGCCTCAGCAGACTAAGCCAGCCTTCCCCTGTCCCCCGCTGTTTCCGGGCCACCCTGAACTGAGCGGCTCTGCTCTACCAAACCCTCCAGCCATGCCGGCCCTGCCCTGGCACCGGCAACCGCGGACTGAGTGCCCGAGACCGCGAGCCACACTAACCCACTTCCTGCTCCAGTCCTGAGCACTGGGTACTGAGTCCCAGCCACGGCAAACCTGACCGACACAGCGTCCTCCCCAGAGACGCCCACACTCCCATGGCCCGGGTCTCCCCGGCCCCTACGCATCGTACAGTGAGCTAGGAGGGGACAGGAGGGTCAGGGCACCCAAGTCCTGCTCCGGGAGAGGCCTGTGTCCCCTGCTCCTGGGTCTCAGAACCAGCGCTGCTCAGGGTGCCGCTTCTTCAGGCTGCCGCTGACCCAGCCCTCCAAAGCCTCCCCTTTGGGGACTAGCAGGAGCAGCACCCAGAGCCCCCCGGACCCCATGATCAGGCCAGAACCCCACGAGCCGCAGGTGCTGGAACAGGGGCACCCACAAGGCGTGGAGCCCACCGAGAAGGTACCCGGCCAGCTCCTTGCCTTGCTCCCCGGGGCATCCCTTCCTCCGCTCGGCCCCCAAGGCTGCTGCACTTTTTAGGGTCTCAGCTCAGCACTAAGTGACGCCCTAGCCAGGGACAGAAGTGAAATTCCCAGAAAACTGCAAATAAGCCTGGGTGCAGACTTTACGTACGGGGAAGAGCAGGTGCAGGTCCCACAGGGAAGGCCGCTGAGCAGCCGGGCAACGGGCCGCTTGGGAATGCAACAGGGCGCGTGCTTCAGTAAAAAACGCAGCACGCGCGGGACACGCGGCCACGAACCCCAGAATCCTCCCTTCTCGCTAAGCGCCGTCGCTCCGTCATCTCCGCAGTCTCTGCAGCAGCTCTGGAGTCCTCTTCCCGGGTATCTTCAGCCGCTCGGTTGTGGCTGCTCGATGCCCTGAATCCACTGAAAATGTTCACCTTTCACTATCACTGTGACCCTGGGGAGGGGCCAGAAGTCGCACAGGGCCAGGTCCGGTGAATAAGGTGGATGAGATACCTCAAGGAGTTTTTAGGAGCTGCCCTCCTGTTGGATGGAGCCCGGCAGCAGCACCCACTGTGTTTGTGATCCACCTCATAAAGACACCCAGGAAAGAGGACCGCAGAGCTGCTTCAGAAAGCGGCAAGAACGACAGGACGAGTGCGCTCAAAGGCAGGCGCGTTCACGGCCGTGTGTCCCTCACTGCGATCGTTTTTAAAAATGTAAGCGTTCACCGTGCTTTGATCACGCCTGGAACACCTGTGGGCCACCAAACCGCGAGGAGAGCTGCGTCTCCTTCAAGTGGATTTTGGACACCTAGGCAGCACCATGATCCTCTGAGGACAAGCAAAGTGCCACCACAGCAGTGCCACCGAGACAGCGCCACGGCCCCTCTGCCCACTCTGGACCCACCTCAATGACCCAGTGACAGCCACGTCCTGGCACTCCTAATGCCCAGCGTACTAGGGGGCCAAGAGGGGCCAGGGACCAATCCAGAAGAGCAGGCCAGAAGAGACAGAGGCTGGCGACGGCTCAGCTAGCGTGCCGGCCACCTCCCATAGGGCTTCACTTGGGAACAGCGCCCCCTGCTGGACCTGCCGCCACCAGCCAGCGCCAGTCTCTGGGGGTTGGAGGCCAGGAGCGGCACCCCCAGACCTCCCGGTGGTCACTACAAAGGGAAGCAGCCAAGACCACTCATCCCCAAGGCCCCACCGGCCCCTCCAGGACCCCACCCCGCAGGGGTGCACAAAGCCGCAGCTCCTTTGCCAAATGCCCCGGGGGCTAGAGACCCAGCTGGACATATCCTCAGACGAGAGCAGCCGGCCATCACTGTCCCCTTCCATCCCCTCTTCCCCCACAAGCTTGCACATTCCGGTTCCAGGGCCTCTGTCCTGGGGCAGCAGAAGGGAGAGGCCGGAAGCCAGCCTGGCACCTCAGTTCCCTTGCCCCAGGGCTGTGGTGAAGATGGAGACCCCGGCGTGGCCAAGTACGCAGCCCGACAGAGCCTAGCCGGCACACCCTGGGCCTTCTGCCCTGCAGAATTCATCTCGGGAGCAGGGCCCAGGACCTCTGAGCCCCATCCCAGCCCTTCTGATTTTTTGAGACAGCATCTCACTAAGTCACTAAGTTACCCAGGCTGAGATGGAATTTGTGATCCTCCTGCTTCAGCCTCCCAGAAGGACCGGATTACAGGAGTGCACCACCATGCTGGGCTTGTGTTCTTTGATTAAACTTTTTTAGTCAAACAACTAATCAATTGCCTTTAGGTCAAAACTAGTCTCCATTTTCCCTATAGTTTTTTGGGGGTTTTTTCCTAAGGAATCATTTTTCCCTTTGGGTCATTTTTACTAGGACAGCAGGCACAGTGGCTGCAGGGGTGCTGGCACTCACCATGATATCCCCCTTCAACAGCTGGGCTGGCTCTATGGCAATGCAGATCCTGCTTGGGCTGTCGGGGCCAACGTTGCTTTGGGATAAACAAAAGGAAAATCATTATGAGGTATCACGGAGTCATGCACACGATACATGTTAAAAAACACACATAAACTGAAGACTCAGACAGGACACAAGAAGTTCCCGTAGCCCTGCATCCAATTTCTGAGAACCTGCTCTGTGGAAATGCGCCAGGAATCCTCGGCACTCAGCCCACTGCCCCACCCCGCCCCCGCCTCTCCAGGACACAGGCAGGGCCGGCCACTTACTAGATCCCCGACGTGTACACGGGCTGCATGGCCTGGTAGAGCTTCAGGAAGGGTCGGCAGGCTGCAAGAGACACGGCTGCCTGAGCACAGGCTCGGAGCACACGGGGCACGGCCGGCCCACTGCAGGGCAGCCGGGAGAAAACCGCCCCTGCCTGGAGCCGCCCAAGCCCCAGAGCTGCGGGGAGACTTGGCTGGACCTCACCCGGGTCACGGGGCTCCGCGAGTGGGGCCGGGGTCTCAGCACCCACGAGTGGCTCAGCAAGGGGCCGTTTAGACTTTTATTCATTCATTCCTTCATTCACGGCGGCACGGGGTTTGAACCCAGGACCCTCCCACGCGGCTATATCCCCAGCCCTTTTGGATTTTTCATTTTGAGACAGAGTCTCCCTAAAATGCCTCAGTCGGGCTCGATCGTGGTGATCCTCCTGCCTCAGCCTCCCCGAGTGCTGGCATTACATGTGTGTGCCCCCACCATGCCTGGCAGGATTATTTTAAAGAGCAGGAGCAGCTGGGACCCTGGCAGGTGTGGAGGAGGTTCCCATGTCAGCCTGAAGCCAAGCACGCGGCTGACCGTGGGGCCAGGCCGATGACGGCCTTCCAGAGTCCATGCCGGGGACACGGGGTGTCTGTGACCCCCTACTGGCCACCTGTCCCTGGCCTGGTCAACGGTGTGGCCCAGGACCACACAACTGGGGCTCCGTGCACACACAGGGCCGCAGCTGCGACCCAGGAGCCCAGGAGCAGCACTGGGCACTGTGGGGGACAGCAGGGGGCCAGGGCCAGGGCCAGGCACGGGGGCACCAGCTTAGGGGGCAGGACCGGCCGCACACCAAAGCCGCCCCGCCGCGACCCACCTCCGCCGGTGTCGAAGTTCGGGGTGCCGTGCAGCACGACGCAGTGCAGGAAGAGGGGTGCGCCGTTCATCTTCACCGAGCCCCGCAGCAGCCCGCTGAGGAACTGCACGTACCTGCGGAGGAGGCGCTCAGAGCCCGCACCCACAGGCGTCCGGGAGACCCCGCCCTGCCGCTCGCAGCCCACCCCGGGCCCAGCCCTCTGGGGCGCCGTCCACACGGACCGGGGCCAGGGACCCTGGGCACACAGAGGCACCCACACGCCGGGCATGGCGCCCGCCCTGAGCATGGCACCCGCTGCTCCGAAGACCTCGCAGGAAACAGGACCGGCACCAGGCACAGCGGGCCACGTCCATCCTGCACCACGCCCAGCCCCTGGTGACCGGAAATGGGGCCTCAGAGGCCCCTGACTGCTCTGCCCTGAGCATCTCCTGCTGGCCATGCCCAGCTGCAAACCCAGGGCCACCAGGGCTCCACGGGGTGGCAGGGGTGTGGCCAGGGGGAGATCTTCCAAGGCAGGAGGACACGATCACTGGGATCCTCACAGAGCACGACGCCCAGCAGAGGGGAACCAGAACTAGACCCTCGCCACATGCGATCTCCGCACCCGCGGGCCTCCCTCCTGCTGCCCTGCCCAGAGCTGGTGCTGCCCCTGCACCCCCGTCAGCAGCCCCGCTGCTCCTCCTCCCCTGCCCTGCAATCTGCGTCGGGGCAAACCAAGTCCCCTAGGACTCCGAGGCAGCGGCCACCTGCAGGAGGTAGTAAGTGCCTGTGCCCAGCACAGGGTCCTCACGACTGCCTCGGAGTCCCCGTGCAGACCAAGAAGCACCCCTCGCCAGAGCAGCCTCGAGGCCAAACTTCCGTAAGGACAAACCTCCACTGTACACGGAGGCTCGGGCCCTGCCCATCCATCAAGCCGCTGAGTTTGCAAACTGAACCAGCGGATGTTTCTCACGCATGTTAGAAATACACAAAAAAACCTTTCCTAGAGCCCGAGCTCTAGCAAAAGCTCAGAAAACAGCCTGGCTCGGGGAAGAACAGGAGTTCCTGCTTCCATCCACCCGGTGCAAACCCAGTGGGCAGGAATCTCACAAAAGCCAGAGCCCTGGTGTCCTCCGAGGCTACAGGCCACGGTCCGGCCACAGCGACTTCCTGCGGGGCCTGCGCCCAGAGTGGCCCTCAGCCAGGCTCCACCCCACAACTCCAGACCATGGTCCAGCGTCCTGCAACACCAACAGCGGCCAGCATCTGCCGCACACAGCAGCTGGGAGGGATCAGACTCGCACACACAGGGGCACGGTGCAACTTCTCTCCGAGACAGGAAGCTGCTCTATAGTCACCCTGGCCGTTCCTGGAACAATCTCTGCTGCCTGGCCTGGAACAAACCTGCAAAGCTGCTAGGTGACAGCCCCGTGTTGCCACCGCAGAGGAGGCGCATCGGGCAGGAGGCGGCCTGCGTCTCCGCCACACCTCTCCCCCACTTAGTCCCTCCAGACCTCCGCCCGTGCGGCAGGCAGCAAACGGAAGTCCTGCTCTCCCCGGCAGCAGCCTAACACTGCCCGGGTGTGCGGAGTATGGGAGAAGAGAAACTGCAGCTTCAGCAAACTGCAGGAGTAAGACAGGAGCCCAGCTTACAGGGCCCTGTGTTTTGCCTATGTCGATAGAGTTGTCGTTGGTCCCAGCTACGTGTCTCTCCTTCCAGCAGCCTACAGGCCTGTGTAAGAACAGTGGTGACCCAAGGCAGAGAAGCCAGAAGCAGCACAAGCACCGTCTAGGCTGCAAGTCAGGGTCATCGGGCCCCGACCAGCAGACGGCAACCAGTCGCAGCTCTGCAGGGCTGGAAACCCCACCGGGGGCCGGAGAAGGGGTTCTGGGTCTGCAGCGTGGCGCTCCCACAGACAAGGACACGAGGGGTGCTCCCTTCCGCCCTCGTGGTCAAGGGCACGATCCAAGGGTGCTGTTCGGGTGCCCTCCCGCCCCGGCTGCTCAGTGGTGAAATCCAGTTCGCCCCTCCCATCCAGGGCCAGGGTGAAATCCTACCGCTTCTGCGAAGGCTGCATCAGCACTGAGACTTTGTCATCATAAAACTTCTTCATCGCGAACCTGTCCAAGGCCTGGTCCGCGCTGGGGAGCAGAGAGGGCAAAGGCGGCTCAGCTCTGTGGAGCTCCCGCCCCACGGCCAAGTAACCAGCACGTGCGTCCCCACCAGCAGCTCCCTTCTCTGCAGCCACCGTGTGCATTCGTCCACCTTCACAGCCCTCTGGGAATGCATGCAGGTCAAAGGGGCGGCGGGATCGGTGGGGCACGCCTGTCTTCTCAGCACTCTGGAGGCTGAGGCTGAAGAATCGCAAGTTTGAGCCCAGCCCCGGGCAATTTAAAAACTTAGCAAGACCCTCTCTCAAAATAAAAAATAAAACGGGCTGGGAATGTAGCTCAGTGGGCTGGTCCTGGGCTCAGTCCCCCAGTAGCACAAAAATGAATGAATAAATAAAAATTAGAAGAAAAAAAATGTGGCCACACCTGCAGGGTCTGAGCCCAGGTGTGAAGCCCCGCCCCGCCCCACGGGAGACGCTGAGACAGGACGCGCTCTGGGGCTGTGACTGGGACGATGGAGGACCTGGCCTCGGCACCTCAGGCGTGCAGGGAGCAGACAGAGCACGTCCCGCACACACCCACAGGGGCCCAGGAGGCTGCGGGACGCTCCCAGGGCGCTCGCTTTGAGGGCTGGGCTACGGGACACTGGGGAAGGGGCACCGGGGTGGGCAGGGGTGTCTGAGTCCCTGGGGCCCGCAACTCTGCTGTGGGACCGACGTCAGAGGGACCCTGAGCCTCAGCTCTTCCGTGCCACTCGGGGTTCACAGAACTCCCACAGCCCCACTTCGGGGCGCCCCCCAGTCCTCAGATCTGAGCCCAGCATGAATCCCGGAGCGGGTCACCGTGAGCCGCCACCGCTGGAGCTGTGTACGCCCAGGGCTGTCCAGAAAATCGGACAGAGGTACAGGCCACACCCAAGAAAAATGTGCAGCTCCCCTGCAGAAAAAGCACTAAACAGGATTCGCACACTCGGAAACAATACGCAGGATCAAAGAAAATACATCCCAAAGCAAGCCTGATGGACCTGCTTTCCCCAAGCGCTACGTGGTGGCCCCCTCGCTGCTCTGTCTGTCCACACCAGGGCACGCTGGCGGGGCGTCACACACAGAAGGTCCCGGAAAGCCCTGACACACTCACACGTGCGTGGACAAACCGCTCCTGGGCTGGTAAGCGTGCACTCCGCTGAACTCACTTGTTTAATCGCACGCCGGTGTACACCGGAGGGAGGCAACACTCACACCAGCGCTAACCGCATTCTCAGTGCCAATAATCAGCCGAGTCTCGGCTCTGTCTGAACCGCCCTGCTCTCACCACTCGTGACTCGGAGTTCATGCTTCCTGCTGTTTGCAGCCTGTGACAGTCAAGCACGTGTGTCTCTGCTTCTTAAAGAGGAGCTAAGAGGGCCCTGGCGGAAGTGATGAGACACAGGTACAGCAAGAGTGTGTATCACGGAAGCTCGAGGAGAGAAAGCCCGGAGCAGCCTGATTCCAAAGCAAAGCTGGACGCAGGCCGGGCAGCAGAGCCGGGGGTGCTGGGGTCCCTGACCCTGCGTCCGTGGAGCAGTAGCAGCAGCAGTACCAGCCACTGAGGCAGGCTGGGGAGAGGCCAAGGACGCCTGGGTGCAGGAGCAGGCGACAGGAAACGTCCAGAGCAAAGCACTTCCGCCTTCCAGGCGCCCCTGAAGGGGCCGCCGCCACCCATGGGGCGGGTGCTGGGGAGGCCTTTGGGCCACGGAGGGACTGACAGGACCAGGGTCGCAGCTGTCTCGGGTCTGCACTGGAGGAGCAGCTTCCCCCCCGGACTGCCAGAGGAAACATCCGGAAATGCACCTCAGCCCTTCCCGCTGCAGGGAGCAGGTGTGGATCCAGGCGCGGGCTTTGGAGCCCGGCTCACAAAGAGGCTTTGAGGGGACCGGGCAGATACACAGGCAAAACACAGGGGAGCCTCACTTTCCTCCCTTTCCTTGAAGTTGTGGGGTCATGCCCGGGCCTAACGCTGAGCTACACTCTCCGCCCACAGGTATTTCCCAAACTGCACTCGGCCGGAGCACACAGCCAGCTTCAGACAGCGCGTGGGTCAGGACGGACCACACCTGGCGGGCACCCGAGCCCACACCAAGGTCCCCTGGTGGCCATTGCACCTGCAGAAGGGCCCAGGAGCGCTGCCAAAGCGCCCCCCAACACTGTCCCGCCCCTGGGTCCTGGCCCGGCCTGGCGTCCCGCCGCGGAGTATGACACCCAGAGCCAGCGGCCCCAAGCCTGAGCCTCGGTTCCCCATCTGGACAGTGGAGGATGACCACGCCTCAGGGGGCTCCCGGGGAGGAGGCAGGAGAAGAGGCGAATGCTCAGCGCTCTTCCAGAGGCCTGGGCATGTGCCCTGGTGGCCGTCACCATGGCTACCCAGAGGGCGTAAACCGGCCTACGGCGCTTACCCAAGGACATTCGGCTCTCTGTGGCCGGGCGAAGACTGAGCTCACTCCCTCTGCACACCTCTGCACACGGCCTTCCCACCCACGACCCGGCCTCCCACCCGGGAAGCGTCCTATGCACGAGCCCGCACCCCTCCGCAGGAGCTGGGGTCGGGCCCGGCCGCGGCGGCCCGTCCTACCTGGCTGAGACGTTGGTGAAGTGCATGTAGGACGAGATGACCACTCCGATGCGTCCTTTCCCGCCCTGCAGAAACAGACGGACGACGTCGGACCCCACAGCACAGACGCCCGCCCACGGGAGGACGCTCAGCAGGGTCGCCAGCCGGCATGGCCCACACACAGCTGCAGACACACGTAGCCCGCCACATGGGGGCGCCACTGAGGAAGGAGAGCGGGTGACAGTGACCCAAGAGGCTTCCCCCCGCCCCCGCTGTGAGAAAAGGGTGCCACCCTGGCTCGGGTCACAGACGGCCATCACGGCAAGCACGAGGCCTTTCTACGTGACACACAGCTCGGCTGCTGCTGAAGGGGAATGAAGGAGTCAAGAGTCTGATGAGCCAACAGTCAGCCTCCGGTGCCACGTGAGCAGCCCTGTCGCTCTCCTGGGAAAGGCAAGGGGCACCTGGTCGATGTCAAATCCTCTGCGGCTGAACCCTGCTCCAGCGGCTATCAACTAACTGCAAGCTTCTAATGTGCTTCTGGCGTGAAGTTATACTTGTTTTAAGAACAGAAGTTCAGCTGAGCGTGTGGTGCACGCCCGTGATCCCAGCACTCAGGAGGCTGAGGCAGGAGAATCGCTGTGGGTTGGAGGCCAGCCTGGGCTACAAATCGAGTTCAAGGTCAGCCTGAACTATATAGTGAAACCCTGTCTGAAAAAGAAAGAACAGAAATTCACCTATGAGAAAAGAGCCTCAAACAGACAGCATTCACTGCAGATATCTTCAATCAATTATTTGTGTAGCACTAATTACAGATAAAAGAAATATTAAGAAATTCTAGGGAAGAGACAGACAGCAACATAGTCATAGCAGAGACTTCAATGCCCAACTTTCACCAGTGGACAAAGCACCTCGATACGAACTCATTTAAAAGGAAAAAAGCACCGAACAGGAACGCACCCTGGACCCCCCACACACACACGCTCAGGACGCGCAGCCCTCTCCTGGGTCACAGGAGACTGCAGCGTGGACCTGTGTCGGGACACAAAGCAGTCTCAACAGCGGTAGGAAGACGGCACCGTATCAACTCTCTCTGCTCACCGCCCAGGCACGAGGCCGTAAATCAGTAACAGTGGGACTCTTGGGGTGATCACATCACAATGGCTGACAGCTAACAACAAGCTCCTGAGCAGCCCCCAGGTCCAAGAAGAAATTAAAAGCAAACAACGCTGTAACGAGACACACTGAAATGTCCGGGGGCAGAGCAAAAGCAGCTCCCCGGGCGAGATCCAGGGCAATAAGCAGCTATAGCCAAGAAGAGGCCGAAAAGAAACAACCTAACCTTACACCTCAGGGAACCAGAGAAACACCCAGCCCAGCCCAAAGCGAGCAGAATTAATGAAATAGCCCAGCTCAGAGCAGGACAAAACAGA